TATATATATATATATATATACATATATGTATGAACGTATGTATGTGAATGAGCTTCAATAAGGTGAAGGTCGTTAAGTAAGCTCTCATTGATTTCACACTTCTCTTGGTTCGTATAAATTACTTCTAACAACGTTTTGCTGCATTCATCGCATAATTAGAAGGAATAGCATAGCAATAAGGCGATGGATTAGAACAGATACGGAGTAGTGGTCAAAGACGTTACGTAATGTATAGGAATGCCAACGACACCATTATCATTTACACCTAAAACGTAACCAGTCATCTTTAGAATACGTTGTCCTACCCTCGTAGAATTTCATTGATGAGCCTCAAGTAGATTGAAGAGCACCTTGGAGTGTCAGCATGCACCTTCTGACTGCACTACAAATAATTCATTCACGATTTCCCTTGCCGATTGAACCTGCCACTCTATCGGTTCATTCTAATCTACACCAAATCTTTCAAAATGGGGCAGTAGCTGGTAGCCTGTGAACACGGAAGCTCCATTGTAGCGCGGAAGGGTGTCGGTTGGACATTCTAGGGGTGATATCTAATGAGGTTACTCATCCGTAAGCAAAATTTGATGGGCAAAGACGGAGATAATCGTCAAGTTCTCGTCAAAATGTTGAAAACATGGAGTGAATAGAATCAGGTAATAGGATGAAAAAAATCGCACTTACTACCGAATTCCTGTTCCAGTCACTCTTCGAAAGTGTTACCAACCATCTTACACTATGCCAGCGGTCTGCTTCGAACGTACCCCACCGTCAGTGTTCTATTTAGTCCTACGCGTTTCACTTAACTCCATATACTAGAAGAAAATCGTTCGACTGTTGCACCCTTTCGGTACCCAACTACTACGTCACCAAAAGGAAGCACTAGGGCTGGGGTACTGCCAGATTACCCAGGCCTGAGGGAAGTCGATCGAGAGATAAAGGTCGGGTTCGAACCACGGACCTTTCGATCGGATTGTGCACGTCGTTTCCAGCCCTTACCCGCAGTTCCAACTTCCCAAGTACCAACTGGTTTCTTTGTCATCTCACACGTGATGCTCCCCTTCGTTGTTTATCCGCCATCGTTGTAGCACATGTTTGAAGGGTGATTCATGTTGCTATGTCCGACTAAATCAACCGATTGATTGACCGTGAGTTTTCATCAGTATTTACCGGTTTTCTNTATATGTATGAACGTATGTATGTGAATGAGCTTCAATAAGGTGAAGGTCGTTAAGTAAGCTCTCATTGATTTCACACTTCTCTTGGTTCGTATAAATTACTTCTAACAACGTTTTGCTGCATTCATCGCATAATTAGAAGGAATAGCATAGCAATAAGGCGATGGATTAGAACAGATACGGAGTAGTGGTCAAAGACGTTACGTAATGTATAGGAATGCCAACGACACCATTATCATTTACACCTAAAACGTAACCAGTCATCTTTAGAATACGTTGTCCTACCCTCGTAGAATTTCATTGATGAGCCTCAAGTAGATTGAAGAGCACCTTGGAGTGTCAGCATGCACCTTCTGACTGCACTACAAATAATTCATTCACGATTTCCCTTGCCGATTGAACCTGCCACTCTATCGGTTCATTCTAATCTACACCAAATCTTTCAAAATGGGGCAGTAGCTGGTAGCCTGTGAACACGGAAGCTCCATTGTAGCGCGGAAGGGTGTCGGTTGGACATTCTAGGGGTGATATCTAATGAGGTTACTCATCCGTAAGCAAAATTTGATGGGCAAAGACGGAGATAATCGTCAAGTTCTCGTCAAAATGTTGAAAACATGGAGTGAATAGAATCAGGTAATAGGATGAAAAAAATCGCACTTACTACCGAATTCCTGTTCCAGTCACTCTTCGAAAGTGTTACCAACCATCTTACACTATGCCAGCGGTCTGCTTCGAACGTACCCCACCGTCAGTGTTCTATTTAGTCCTACGCGTTTCACTTAACTCCATATACTAGAAGAAAATCGTTCGACTGTTGCACCCTTTCGGTACCCAACTACTACGTCACCAAAAGGAAGCACTAGGGCTGGGGTACTGCCAGATTACCCAGGCCTGGACGAGGGAAGTCGAGAGATAAAGGTCGGGTTCGAACCACGGACCTTTCGATCGGATTGTGCACGTCGTTTCCAGCCCTTACCCGCAGTTCCAACTTCCCAAGTACCAACTGGTTTCTTTGTCATCTCACACGTGATGCTCCCCTTCGTTGTTTATCCGCCATCGTTGTAGCACATGTTTGAAGGGTGATTCATGTTGCTATGTCCGACTAAATCAACCGATTGATTGACCGTGAGTTTTCATCAGTATTTACCGGTTTTCTGGATATTCCATGGACGTACCTCCTGAATGCAATTTGTGTTCTTTACCTGCCACTCGAACTTCTCCAAACATAGCTTATGATAATATTTTTCGTGATGTTCTCTTGTGGTCGAGCACTGTTTGTCACCAGCCAGTTCATGGCCACTTCTGGCGTTCAGTTGCCACTACTGCGTTATATCCTACTTTCTCGCTTAGATTTGCGCAACCACTTTTGGTGGTTCGATCACTTGTGGAATCATTACCAAGTTCACAAGTTAAATGAAAGTGAACTCTTGCATCTCATGCGCCTGAACAAACAGTTTGCACTCGTAAGTCGTTGGTTTCGTATTTTTTCTGCGTTCCACATTCCTCTCGCCACCGATCAGTGTCCAGCGTAAGGAGCCAATTTCGCCGAAACTATACTGTCTTCGGTGTTAGGACCCTATCATGCTTGCTGCGTACTTTTGCGATTGTATTGTGTATCATTTGCTTGACTGATCTTTTTCCTAGGCCACCAAATACCTAACATTAGAAGGTCCAATGTCGTCAGTATACACAATTCATTTGATTATATAAAACCCCAAAAATAAAGTATTTTTGAGCGTAAACAGAAGCGCGAGAGTGGATATTTTTATTGTATTATTCGGAATTATTCACTTATATGTGATTTTGTAGTGCGTTGAAAGAACACAATCAAGTGTACAAAGTAGGTTATTTAGTCAGGCCACCTTTGCATACGCAGACAGCCTTATCTTGTTGCAAAATTGCATAGTCTCACCTTTTACCCAATTCGTTGTGTAGCTAAACCGCAAACTAACGGCTATCATTGTCCGGTGCACGCTGTGTAGGGTTGCGGAAGCCAGTCGTTCATACCGTCCTTACGAAGTCTATTCGCAACGCTGCTTCAATGAATCAAGAAGAAGCTCCCATACATTTTATAGCCCTCAAAATCAGGACTTCATGATCAACAACGGACTCAAAAAAGTGGGCAGAGTGCGAACCAGGAATTACGGCGCATTTAGTATACTCCACGCAAATGTCCAATAATGGAGAGTGGCCATTCTCGCAAACGATGTGATATTTGTTTAGTAAAGCAATAAAAGTTTCACTCAATGATGTCATGAAAACTCACCGTGTTGTAGAACGCCGGTGCAGGAAACCACCACGCAAACATTCACGACCAACGATAAACGAATTCCACTGACTCGCTGAGCTACTTAAATGTCGTTAGTAGCTTATGGTTGACTTAGGTGATATTTGGATGCTATGGTTATCCTCTTCGGAATCGCGCCTCCTAAGAAGGACTACTTGCCTCACGATGTACTCCAATACACCTAATGCTTATAATAGAAATCCATCCATTCGATCACTGACCTGTTAAAATACAGCCCGCGCATATTCAAACCTAGATATATCAGAAGCTCCGTCAGATGTCAGTTTCCGGTACGAGGAATTCACCAACGTCAAAATTATCAAATGATATACCCGAGGTTTTCACAAGTCCACCTTTCTCTTTGCTATCAAACTTTATGACAGCTTCGTGGAATAATTGAATTTCATGGGGATTTGGGTCAGAAAATAACTTGAAAAATACACAGCTGCTTTGGAGCCATGCAAGTGAAATAGCGATTTGCATTCTCAATTGCTATAGGATCTGAATTAAGGGTTTTGTTTCTGCTTTCATTAGCTTCCAAGTGAATTGCATACGCCGCCAAAAAATCAAATCCTGATATATTGTTTCTTTTTTGTCAGATCGCTTCGCCCCAGTAGTCACCTATCCGTCACTTTCCCTTTTAGGATCATGACATTCCGGTGCAGGATACCTATGCTGTCTCTCCCCACCATTCGGGCATCTATCCAGTCATTCAACACTTATATGACGCTTGGCACACTGTGTGGAATATTAAAGCGACTTCTACCGAGCATTACCCCCGTGTTTCCATGTCCAAACCGCACCTAGGATTCAAATTCCGAGACATCCAGGTTGGTTTTCGTTCCTCAATATCGTCTTGCATATGCGTCCACTGATTTGTGACTACCTTCTTTAAGGTACTGCCTCGTCAAACATGTGGTATTTACAGTCGGTTCGTGGAAATGCTAGACTTTCCTGGAGGTGAGAAGCGAATGCGCGACCTGGTGTTCGGTGGTTCATTGTTCTACACGATTGTTTTCAATCCTGTAAGTCTCTTCCTGTGTGATCCTTTTGTTCGTTTAATTTTTCTCTCGTGTCCTTTCTTACTGATCCTGTTGTGCGACACCTCACCTATCCACCACAAAGTCGAGAGCTTGTTAGTTTATTTCTCTTTGTTGGAACGCGTAATATCACTGGCGTGCCATTCCTTTGACTTTATGATATACTCCCTTCTGGAGTAACGAATCCATTCATTTTTAAATGGGATTTTCTGACACTTTCTTATGCGAAAGCGGATCATACTTTCTCATCCCGAAGACCGAGTACCTCCAAGAGTTGAACAATTTCGCCTGGTGCCAGTGATGTTTGTCGTTGACGTTTTTGGTTAATGAATTAAGTCAGTGTTCAACACTGACGTTGAGACGCCAGTGTCATATTAAACGAGATGAATGTATTGAACGGGGTATTAGACACTTATATCCCCAGCCGATCCTAATATTTGCGTTTCAGTCGTGGTTAAATTAACATCGTAATAAATCTGTCGAAAAACGCTTGATTAGACCAAACGAACTTTGCCGACTTGCGAGTATGTGGACGTCAGTCAGGCGCACAAAGCAGAAAATGTACAACAAGAGGACCGCAAAATTCTAGTAAAATAGTGGCGCAACTTATGAACAGGTGAGATTAACTAGTTAACTACGCTTAGTAGTGTTAGAAAATCGGAAATCTGGCCATAAAATCCGGCTTATCGCTTTTTCTCGAAGTAGTTGTGATTCAGCGGCTTAATAACTCCCGTTGGGCCCATAGACAGTCAGCACACTGGTTGTTCCTTCTGTAACCGTCCATACGTAGATCTCCAAATAAGACCAGTTGTTACTCATTAGCTTCAGTGTTGCATTAACCGAGTAGCCGTAACCCTTGCATTATGCTATTGTTAGGCTTGTCCACAGTGATAAATTTTATGGAAATATTTATTGTCTAAGGGTCAACTAAACAAATGGAACATTGTTCCACCCTGTTTTACACTGAGCATCTGGTAACTCCACAGTACAGTAAGTGTGAGTATTTCGACTATCCGGCAACCTGGTATAAGACTGGACTCCTGTTCGCCTGGAAATCAGGAAAACAAGAGCAATGCTCAGCATTAAGATGAATGATCTTATCAGAATCCAATAGAATGGCGTTTTAATGGGGGGACTGCTGTGAATACCGCTTCCGATGGGGTGCTTGGCTGTTTTTTGTTCTTTGGTCGCGTATTTACAGTTGCGATTGAAGTTAAATGAATATAAATAATGCTTGTTTTCGCTGACAAAGTATCATTGATAGAAGTCATGTATTCAGTCAAGTATTAATAATAATTTTATGGGGTATCTCGAAGAGAGTTGTTTGTGAGGTAGTCACATTAATTAGTAGTCCATCTGGGAGGGCCTAGCTTACTCGTGAGATACACGAGTGGAAACGACTAGTTATTCAACTACGGTAAGTGGACACGAACTGGGGCTGACCAGATGCTTAACCTTCAAGGAGACTTGTATTGACTAATTTCAGATAAGGACTACTCCTGGTCCTCTCCAAGGATTGACGGTCTTTAGACGGTTGTTGAATTCGACTATAATACTGTAGCAACCCATTTAAACAATGGTCATTTTCCGTGTCGGACTGTCAGGCTGGGACAGCATTTGGTACTGGAGTTCATTGAGAATAGTGTATTTTTCGCTCAGATTTGACCCGTGGTCCGCGTTCTGATGTTGCCCAACAGGCATGCATTCATGAAGCACGTTTTTCACCCCCACTTCTGCAACATGGCAGTTGATTAAAAGGGGAAAAAGGGAATTACCAAGCCTAGGTTGATTAATTTTCATGTTACGGTGTCATTCGTTCGGGCTGTCTCTATCCTTATCCACTTGAAACCAACAAAACTGTCTGAGGTTTGTACTTCCAAGCCCGCATAACTTATCTGGCTCTCAACAACTTTCTTGTTCTGTCTTCACAGGCGGTACACTTTTCTACGTTGAGCTTTTCCAATTCTGTTGGTCTTCAGCCTGGGCACATATCCTACCATGTAATGGCACTTCACTGTCCTGTAGTGCTCTGTTTTTTCCATATATTTACCTTCACATTTATTCATTGTGAATCACCACTAAGCCTCTCGAATTTCCTATGCTCCAGGTGTCAGTCTTCATGACTCATATGACTAACTACAAGGGAGATAGATTGGCGCTGTATCTTTTCGATGCGCTATTCCGCTTTGTTCGTCAGTGGACAAATCTGCAGCTGGCCACTGCTCCACCAATTCAGTTGGCCCACTTCTATTCAAGACGCTTCAGGGAGTTTGGAGCCAATGACCTTCCTCTATACACCGATCCCTGTGCCGATCCCCATAGCTTAGCACTGTGGCCAGTCGGTTGGCCATGTGGAGTGGATTATCTTCCGCGGTTGGTCATCATTGGACCACAAAAAACAGGTAGGATTGTTCTGCTTCATCATTTTCTCAGCTCATCTCTCCCGTGCATAGTTAAGGAGGAAGCCTGCTCATCTACGCGAGCTTCTAACCTTTACTTTTTCACAATCTGGTAATTTCTTGCCAGTGATGCCTTGAATTTCGGCTCTGACACTCACTAGCCTTCTCGCATTTCGAAATCCAAGTAAATACTAGATACTTGTCCTGTCATCATTGTGTTTCATCATTCCTTCGAAGTAAACCTTGTCGAATGTCAAACAGGCAATTGATTTGTTGCGATGGGAGGTTCCTAACAATGAGATTGTGCCTAAAATCAAGCTCCTTCCTCTCACTGCGTGCTAATCCGCACCTGACGCGTCCTCAGTGTTGAGGTCAGTCTGATGGCGTTCGTGTAAAACTACACTGTCAACAATACCCTTTGGTAGAATTTTTTATCAGTTAGTTTTTGAGCTAGCAGTAAATAATAAAGTCATAATCAGATGCGCTTATTTGAGTACATACTCTGACCTAGTGTATTCTATTTCTGGTTCAACATACCGTTGAAATAAGTTAAGTTTTCTTTCAGTTCACAGCGGCCGCCTGATCGATAACTGATGCCATTAACATCTCTTTCATCAACCCTCTTGTTCTGTAGCTTATTGATTTGTGTTCCAATTTTCTTTAGGTTCAACTGCACTCGTTCACTTCCTACGGTTGCACTCATCGCTGGTTGCCAATCATTATCACTGGGGTTCCACCTTCGAGGAACTTCAATTCTTTAGTTCTGATGAGATATACGCCCGCGGCATACACTGGTATATGCAGCAGTTTGATTCGGTTAACAACCGTACCGGTGGATCGGTAGTTCGGTTTGAGAAGTCGGCCTCCTATTTCACGGATGTTCGTACACCACAACGCATGCATTCGTTGATCCCGGATGCACGCCTTGTGGTCCTGCTGCGCCATCCAGTATATCGAGCCTACTCCTGGTACCAGGTATGTTTGATTGTTCTTGAACCCCTATTCGGGTACGATTTACACAACTTCCAAACATCCAGTGCGCTGGTGCTACAGAAAGATCCACCGGGTACCGAACCCACACTATTATTGGTTTATTTTTCCAGCGACATTTTGACGCCTGATCCGCTGTAAGTAGTCGTCCGAACTCGGGAAATAATAATGGTTCTCGGTTATCCCTGATTACCGTAAATTGCTGGTATGTTGAGGGCTCTTGACTAAGGAGCATTCTGTGAAAATCACGGATACATACTCTTGAAGAAAGGAGAGGGAATGTATACAGGTCAATGTGTCATAGAGTGATTAACGTCAATGTCAGAGGAGTTTGTGGGACCGGACTTTGCGCAGGCTAATTGAAGTTCGTAGGTCGCACAAGTTTCTTTTGGACGCAAAATTGTCGGCCCATCTCATTCAAATCGCCTCCGCGATCAATATTAGTCTCAGTCGCACTAGTCGTGATCGGTTCAGAGGTCCTCGACATGTTATCGAAGACTTGCTCTTTGTCGATAGTGTGACTAGTTTCGGCCAATTGTGATGTGATTGCACTTGAGCGATCTTTCTTCTAACTATCTATCAGAGACACTGGAATATGTTCTCACACTCTGCCGACAAATGCATTGTCGAACTACCAGCGTGTGGTGTTCTGTATGAGCATACAATAGAGTACACACAAGGGCTAGTAGCAGAATGTTATTATTTGTCCTTCAAACGGAAGCTGATGGTGGAGCTGAAGCTGAAACTCAAGTACAGATTAGCGTCATGTGTTTATGATCAACACACTGGTAACTCGTTCCGTAGTACACTTTATACTCACGTGAACCGAACTGGAACTACTTAACAGATCTGTTAAGCTGAAACTGACAGCGCAACAGATCTGGATCTGTTGCGCTGTCAGTTTCGGCGGCCTGTACGGTGAAATCGTGCACATGAAAGCTATGTGGTGTAAACGACTCAAAGAGTCGGCTTAGTTTTCGAGCTTCAAGTTTGTTCGTGAAAACATCTGTCGAGACTGGACCCAGAGCAGCTCCCATCGCAATGCCGTCCCTCTGTAGAAAGATTTGATTGCTGCAACCGAACTCATTGTTGTTGGTAGGAAGTAGCGGCAGTTTCTTAAGGGAACCCAATATATTTACTGTTGTAATTAATTAATTGTGTTGAAAACTGGATTGCCTCCGTGAGTGCTACAATGGCGCAATGTCTACGGACAACATACAATGTTTACCGACCATTAGGTCTCTAATCTAGTCGGTAAACTAAGAACTATCTGGCAACCTGTCCACGGTAACTTCTCCCCTAATTGCCTGACAGACCACTTAGGCCAACCGTGATAAGGAGCACTAGACGTACCGAGGGCCCAAGAGGTAGACCGGGTTTAGGCGCTTTTAGGAGACCAAAAAACCGAGGGTTGTTGTGCCGGTGAGGCGAATACACTCAAAAGTACTGGCGTCAGTGCCTTCTGGTTGTTTAAGGCATCACAATACTTTGGATACTGCTTTTTCAATCACGTGGCTATTGTCTTTCCCGGTTTACATTTCCGTAAATTTGAATTCGTCTGGGTGTATTGTGTTTATCTCATCAGTCTAGACAGATTTATCCATCACGACAACTGCGCCTTAGACAGTGAAATTTGGTGCTCTTATTTTAAGCTTTCAAAGCCCCAGAATGTCCCTTTTTCAAAAGTCGCTTATGGCTAGCTTTGTAGCTGAGGTATTGCCAGTGGGAATTGGCTAGCGTTGAATTCAGGTTTTCAATACTTAGCTCAAGGAAAGGTACTAGCGCGGCTAACCGATTACGTAAATTCCCGAATCGGAATTCAAGTACAACCGATTGATCGCGGGGGCGACTGGAATCCAACTGCATGACCCGAAGCTCTGCGCCCAAATGAAACTTTTGCAACCTGAACTTGAGCTGGCCTGAAAAAAATCAATGGCTTGTGTGAAGTTGATGTCAATCACTTGACTGCATGACTCATTAACCCGTGCACTTCCCTCTGCTTTTTGGAGTATGTACTCGTGACCTCCACCTATCCCTTACATGAGATTTCCAGTATCATATAAATTTGTAATGTATTAGCCATAAGTAGTGTTTACCTCAGTAATCAGACTGCTGATGTGGTGGAAGATGGATTTCCCGTTCGGAAACTTATTACGGAGCTGTCTGTTGTTGTTTTTTTTCAGTTTTCGGTACTTATCAATCACTCTCGCTGATCGAATATGAGTTAAATCTTCCACTTACATATTTTGTTGCCGCCGAACGGGTAAAAGGTTCAGCAAGCGGATGTTTTGACTTGTCATTTTTCGCTGTACCGATACTTTCTATGTCTCTGTGTTTGGTGTGGACAAACTGGCTGAGAAGTTTCGTTTAGTTTCATTTGGTTAGCAGCAGGAGCAGTGTGTTCCTGATGTCTTTTCCTTCATAGTCTGTCGTTTGCAGTGTCAGTTACCCCGTTTACGCCCAGATAACCATCCGAATATTCATTCCTACTACCTTGTCGCAGCACACCTTGGCCCGTGGGGATCCAGCCGCCAGGCTGCTATCTTTTTCTCAGTTGGTTCGATATGGCGCCAATATAAATGAAACAGTGTTGATGACCATAACCACACACGAGGAGTTGTTACGATTGGGTTTCGAATCCACGAAGTCGAGCTCCATGCAGTTGCTGTTGAAGGCTATCCAGCACCTGTACAACCGTTGTTTTCGACCCGGCGATTATGCCAGTTATTTAGCAGAATGGTTGAAATACTACCAACCTTCTCAGGTATGTATTCTCCCGTTTTTCATGCTTAACTTGGTCAATTTTAACATGTCTCTCCAACCTCTCAACGTACAATAACACTAAAGCTTTATATATTATAAACGAGGGATTCGGATGAATTTCACCTGAGTCTCCCGTCGGACTGACCTACTTTGCAAATTAGAGTTTATCGCAACTAAGATATTTGCCCGATAAATTTTGGGGCCTTGTGTGTGTAGATGCGAATTTCCATTTTCGCAAGCCCCTTTATCCATCATATGGCATTTTAAGACAGACTGAAGTCTAATCATTACGCGGGTGAGTGCCGATGCTGATGGCTTTATCCGGCAGTCAAGATCGACCAGGATGTTGAGAAAACTCGGATGGATGTGCTTTCTTTTCATGACACGTGGCAGAGGAATTTAGGGTTGTTCACTGTGGTGCTTGATGTAGTCTTATCTAGCACGTTCTTTTAGAATCGCACTGTCCCACATCGATTACCTGACAGATAACGGTCACTGGAAACCTCTGGATTCAGTCGCTCCTACGTACTAGATACCCATCAGTGTACTAGAACTCTGCCTGTTGTATTTCCTTTCGGTTATTTCCTGCTACAAACATTCCACCAACGACATCTATCCGAGTAGTTTACTTTTTGGCAGAATTCGCTCAGTCCGTCGCTCCAAATCAACAGGTGTTGGCCGATTTGATTGCGCCCGGGTGGTCATTTTGATACCTCTCTTTGTTGAGCCATTCTTAATCACCTTCGAGCTGTCAATATTTTGACACGCTGGCTAGCTTGGTTAGTTCTGGGAAACCACTCGGAAAACGTCTGAAATTTGATGCCGAATAGATGGCAGTGTCTCTGATAAAATCACCACTTATCAATGTTGATAGGGAGCTTCAAGTCCACTGATTTCTAACATTCCCTCAGCTTTGCCGTCCCACTCCCCACGTATGGCTCCGTATCCTCCAGATTGTCTGTGACCACCGATTCGGGCGACCACATTAATCGGTTCGTTTACGTTTCAACTCAATGCGCAGCGATTAAGATTTACACTGTTCACTGGCCGCACCATCCACTCACAATTTTAAACACACACACACCGCTCTGGTGCGACATTTCTACCTTGGAATCCGTTTGTTATATTTAGCATCCAGTCTGTCACATAGAAACAACCTTGTGTGCGTGCAAGCTAAACAAGCTTTAGTGGTACTTTTCTGTATTAGGTTATGAACAGGTATTATGGTGCAAAACACAACATCTCATTGGACTGAAATGCATGCCTAATCCATGAATACAGGAGAAATCGAAATCGATCACCGGTGTGTACAGACTTCAGTTAAACGAAACCGGAGGTCCGATGGTCTATACTGGTTGGAACTCAGCTCTCAAGGCTTCAACCATGCCAGAAAGGCCATGGGGAGTAGCCTGATGAAAAATAGCGGTTCCCATCACGCGAGAAATCGTAGTACGAAGCGTTCTGAGGTAAAGTCATACCGTGCCCTGCGCGATAGGAGTGTGAATACAGTAAGGCGTTTCCCCCAGGTGACCAGCATAAACATATTAATGGAAGCAGCGATGCTGCCAAGGAAGGACGGGATTAGAAAGGGCCCGTCCTTAATACTACGCACTACGATCGTCCAATGACATTGACCGCCGGTGCACTATTCAATACGACCAAAATGGCTTTGAAGCCAAATTATATGGTACTGCTCAAAAGGCGCCAACTGTACGTAGCTGAATTAGGGTTCAGAAAGTTATGCCTTACTCTCTGCGTCCTCTGACCAGACCACGCCCTGCAGCCAAGTTGCCTGAGCTTTTGAGCCATTGACTATGGGAAGGGTCTGTTCAAGAGGAACCTGTCGACCATTGTCAAGTGGTTCAAACTTTTGAGTCAGACGTTAGAAGAAGGGTCGCTGAACAAAACTTTACACTGTCCCACTGCCTTGTGGGTCAGATTTTTGAGTCAAATGCTCAAAGTGGAGCACCTCGGCCAAACCCCCTTCGGCTTGGACAACTGGGAAAAATTGCTCTCCCTCTTCGTTCATTGACTCCCCTCTGACACTTCACTCGCCCAATTTTTTTCTGATTCTAGTCAATCACCTAAATGTCATGTTGTATCTAAGCCTCTGTTCAGTAAAATAGTTGGAAGTTAACCAGAAAAGCTTAACTGAATTGTCAGTTGAATGTGTGTAGTCGATGAGATAATATTCCTCTGAGTAATGTCCAGAGGTAAGCGATGTACAGGAAGAGGGTAATTCGTAGTGACACTAATATTCCACATTGGACGGATATGATCCTCATGCAAACTATTCCGATTGCTGAAGTAGGATTCGAAGTTTTTTGGCTACGCGACTGATTTCACTTGATAGGACTAAATGAGATCGATCAAGGACGGAACGAGTAGCTGGATGATTCAGTCGTCTGGATGGCGCAAACCGCGAGGTGTACAGCACATGACTTGGCAAAAAG